TCACTTTAATGCAATAAATAATATATATCTCAAACCAAAGGCAAGCATGCTTAATGGTAAAGCACTGGATGAACTGCACTAAATTAAAATACAGATGGGCCAGGTGCAGTGGCTCATGCCTGTAATCCTAGCACTTTGGGAAACTTAGGCTGGTGGATTACCTGAGGTCAGGAGTTCAAGACCAGCCTGGCCAACATGGCGAAACCCCATCTCTACTAAAAATACAAAAATTAGCCAGGCATAGTGGCACATACCTGTAATCCCAGCTACTTGGGAGGCTGAGGAAAGAGAATTGCTTGAACTTGGGAGGTGGAGTTGGCAGTGAGCCGAGATCGCGCCACTGTACTCCAGCCTGTGCAATGGGAGTGAGACTCCATCTCAAACACACACACACACACACACACACACACACGAATATTCTTATGATCTTGGAGTGGGGGGAGGCTGTTTGTCTCAGCATGTCAAAAAGATTGTAAATTTTTTTGAAAAAGACTCATCTATTTCACTATATAAAATAATTTAGGCTGGGCATAGTGGCTTACACCTATAATCCTAGCACTTTGGGAGACTGAGGTGGGTGAATGACTTGAGCCTAGGAGTTTGCAACCAGCCTAGGTAACGTGGTGAAACCCTGTCTCTGCTAAAAATACAAAAAGTTAGCTGGGTGTGGTAGCATGCACCTGTAATCCCAGCTACTGAGGAGGCTGAGGTGAGAGGATCGCTTGATCCCAGGAAGTCGAGGCTGCAGTGAGCCATGATCGTGCCACTGCACCCCATCCTGGGTGACAGTGAGACCCTGTCTCAAAAATAACAAAAATAATAATAATTTAAGTTTCCTATATGATATGAAAACACTGTAAACATGGTTGAAAGGTAAGTAGGGAGTAGTATAGACTGAAACATAATATAATTTGTATAGAAAATATTTTCATGGACCAGGGGTGGTGGCTCATGCCTATAATTCCTGCACTTTGGGAGGCCACGGCGGGTGGATCATTTGAGGCCAGGAGTTCTAGACCAGCCTGGCCTAAATCGTGAAACCCTGTCTCTACTAAAAATACAAAAATTAGTCGGGCGTGGTGGTACATGCCTGTAATTTCAGCTACTCAGGAGGCTGAGGCACAAGAATTGCTTGAACCCGAGAGGCGGAGGTTGCAGTGAGCTGAGATCATGCCACTGCACTCCAGCCTGGGTGATGGAGTGAGACTCCGTCTAAAACAAAAAGAAACCCCCCCAAAACAAACAAAAAACACTTTTAGGAGACATTTATAAAAGCATACACCAAAAAGAGAAATGGGCAAATGGTGTGTGCAGGTAAATCACAATAGTAAAAATACAAAGTGGTAATTAAAAGGTATTCCTAGTTGTCTTCTTGTTTGTAAACAGCAGAAACTGACACTGGTTTCTTTCACCAATAAAGGAATTTACAGGAGACCTATCAGGTTAGCTCACAGAAAGAACAGAGCTAGAGAAACAGGCTTGGGTAGAAACCCAGGGAAGCAGATACCAGTAAGAATTTGCTACTAGAGCTGCAGCTGGACACTTGCTGTTACCACCCCAACACTGTACACCACTGTACCGCCACACTGCTAAAAATATAGCTGCCAGATTCATTAATTCACTGCATTGTCTCCAATGAACCTTGTATCAATACTTCTAGAGCCAAAGTCTAGATAGGAACATCTAGTTGGTCTTGCTCTGTCACCCAGGCTGGAGGGCAGTGGCACAATCATAGCCCACTGCAGCCTCAACCTCCTGGGTTCAAGTAATCTGCCTGCCTCAGCCTCCTGAGTAGCTGAGACTATAGAAGCACACCACCACACCAGGCTTAAATTTCCTTTCTCTTTTCTTTTTTCCTTTTCTTTTTTTTTTTTTTTTTTTTTTTTTTTTTTTTTTTTTTTTTTTTTTTTTTTTTTTTTTTTTTTTTCAAGAGACTGGATCTTGCAATGTTGCCCAGCCTGGTCTCAAACTCTTGGGCCTCAAGTGATCTCTGTCTGCACATGCTGAGATTACAGACATGAGCCACGGCACCAGGCTGGTGGTCTTTTCTAGGTCATCTTCCTGAGCTCTAGCTTCCAGGGGTGGGGAGGGGAATACCTACTCCCCAGCAATTTTCATAATAGGAACTTGAGTTGTCCTGCCTAATTTGGTATCCCCTGCAGACATGAAGTTGGTTTAGATGTTGGATAGCAGGGAGACCCGCACATGATGTTCAGCCTCACTCATACAAATAAAAAGCGCATTAATATGCCATCTTTTGTTCATCAAACTTGTCAATGTGAAAAAGACTGGAAAACTCAATGGTATCTTGGGATTGGGAAATGTGTGTTTCCCATTCATTGCTGGCAGGAGAAAACCTTTCTGGCGGTCAGCTTGATAATAGGTGTCAAATATGAAATACTCATACCCTTTGACCCAAGGTTTCAGCCTAAGGAGATAGCTGCAAGGTAGAGGTCATGATAATATTCACCGTACTGTTGTTTCTAATTTATGTTTCCCGAGCTTGGGGGTAAGGGGTGGTACAGAGAGGGCTAATGAAAGATTCACTACAGAATGTTCAAGGTGAGTCTTTAAGAATGATCACCTGAACATTCCAACTAGGAATTATCCCAAGCCTGTTCTGGCCAAGCTTTGAGGCTCGGGGGATCAATAAGCTTAGAATAGTGGGAGGGGCCCAGACTGGGAAGGGGTTTCTTAGGTATCCTACCAAGAAGTTCAGATATTGTTTAGAGGCCAGGCACAGTGCCACACACCTATAATCCCAGCACTTTGGGATACTGAGGTGGGTGGATCACTTGAGGTAAGGAGCTCAAGACCAGCCTGGCCAATATACAAAATACTAAAAATACAAAAATTAGCTGGGTGTGGTGGTGGGTGCCTGTAATCCTAGATACTCAGGAGGCTGAGGCGGGAGAATGCTTGAACCCAGGAGATGGAGGATGTAATGAGCCGAGATTGCACCACTGCACTCTAGCCTGGATGATAGAGTGAGACTCCATCACACACACACACACACACACACACACACACACACACACACACATACACATTATTTAGATAGAAAGTTGGCAAGTAATCAAACTGTTATATGATGGCTGCCTTACTGGGTACCTAATAATGAGTAAGATGGGTCTCTGCTGGGTTGAAGTCCACATTTTAGTGAAGGTGACGACTGCAAACTGAATTGCAATATGGTCAAGTCAGTGTCATGAATAAGTGGTGCCAAGAGAGCTTGTGGAAGGGACACCTGCTGGAGGGGTGATACCTAAGGTGAGACTTTAAGGATGAAAGGAAGTTAGCTAAATAGAAAGGTTCAAGGAAAGGTTCAAGGGAGAGGGAACAGATCTGGTAAAGGCCCTTGAGTCTGAATCAAACTGCCCAGAAGTTGAGGGCCATTGCATTCACATTTTAGTATGAATAATCAGATGGCTTTCATCCTGGTGTCCAGATAAGCTCAAGTTGCAGTGAGGAATAGATATTTTGACTAAGAGGAGAGTGGAGGCGATTAGAGTTGGTGCTGTGCACCCTGGGGATGTTATCATAGAGCCTTACAATGGGGAGCGAGGTCACAGATAAAAAACATTTACTTTGAAACGTGGTGTAAGGTGGCCTTCATGTTTTAAAAAGGGGGAAGGGCTCTCTCTTCCCTGATGTATCCCTTCTGCCTCAGAACTCAGACTAGCTCTTAGTAGAGGGGAGCCTACAGAGAGGAGGTCATATACTAGTGGATTTTGGACTAAAGGCAGCCCAAAAATGTACTATTTTTTGTTCCCTGCACTATTTTTTTTTTTTTTTTTTTAATAATGGAACCAACATTTAAAAATAGGATTTCTGCCTTCTCTTAAAACATCAGATGATCTGGTAACACTGACCTCCTGTTCTCACATGGGAACAACTGGCTGGAGCTGAGTGGCAGCCACCTCTTTAGAAAGATAACTTGAATTTTGCTATAGTCCCTATCATTCCGTAGATATTCCCCTCAACACTGAGAGCCAAGTCACTTGAAAGTCAATATGATGATTCAAATACCAGGATTCTACACTCATTTGTGGTTTGTGACCTGTGATATTTGTGGATTCGTGACCCTTAGTTTAGAGGTCAGGTATAGGGGTTGTGAATAAAACTTGGGTTTGAATTAGATAAGAACTGAACCAATCTCAAAGACGGGGAATTAAAGATTAAAGAAAATATTGCATGCTTGGCATAATGTGTGGAACACAGCAGCTATTGTTAACTCCACTAGGAATGTAAGCTGCAAGAGGGCAGGTAGAAACCGTGTTAGTTTAATCCGCTGGGGATATGATATTTAATTCTAATGTAATAGATTTAATTCTTTGTAACATCCCCAGCAACTGTTGAATGAATGAATGAGTGAGTGAATGAATGAATGGATGACTGGCGGGAGAGCCTGTCAGGGTTTTAAAGGCTGGAATGGAAAAGAAGGTAGTTATGATAACATCATTTCGCTAGGACTCCAAAGTGCAGCCTGGAAGAAAAGCCCGCTGGGACGTACCAGGTTCTATGACTGCGCTCCGTTGGCACACAGACGGTAAGTATCTGCAACGTCTCCTGGGAGCCAGGCGGGGCTGACTTGCCCAGAACCTGTCAGGGCTATGTCCACCAGCTCTTGCACGGTCTGGTAACTGACAGCATCCTGATTCCTGCATGTTCCCGCCTCTGCCATCCGATCAGCAAAGACGGAGACCCACCCCTGGGATCCACCACCCAGCGCGAGCCCAGCCTTTTCCTCCAAGCCTGGACCGCGCCCACACTAGACATGGCCTCCCTCGGGCTTCACGCAGCAGGACCGCACCCGCAGCCTCCAGACTTCGCGTCCGGCTGGAGAGGCAGCTAACTTCCCACAGTGAACATGGCGGCAGAGGCGGCTTCAGCGCGGGGCGGGCGGCGCCAGGAGGCGCGTCACGTGAGCGGCCCAGCTGGGCGGACCGCGCGCGCGCCCGCTCGCCCCGCCGGCCGCCGCTCGCTGGCTGGCTCGGCGGCGCTCTGAGGTGTGTGGGGCTTACATCCCCAGGGCCCGGTGAGGCGCGGCGCGGCGCGGCGGGATGCGGCGGCGGCCGTGGCGGGGCCGCGGGCCGGGCGGGCGGGTGCGGTAATGAGTGTCAGCGGCCGCCGCCATGTCCAAGGTAACGGCGCCCGGGCCCGGGCCGCCGGCGGCGGCAGGCGGGAAGGAGAAGCGCTCCTTCAGCAAGCGGCTGTTCCGGAGCGGCCGCGCTGGCGGCGGCAGCGCCGGGGGCCCCGGGGCGCCCGGGCCGGCCGCGCCCTCCTCGCCTTCCTCGGCGCGCTCGGTGGGCAGCTTCATGAGCCGCGTCCTGAAGACGCTGTCCACGCTCTCGCACCTTAGCTCCGAGGGCGCCGCCCCGGACCGCGGCGGCCTCCGCAGCTGCTTCCCGCCGGGGCCAGCCGCCGCGCCCACGCCGCCGCCGTGCCCGCCGCCGCCTGCCTCTCCTGCGCCGCCCGCCTGCGCCGCCGAGCCGGTGCCCGGCGTGGCGGGACTCCGCAACCACGGCAACACGTGCTTCATGAACGCCACGCTGCAGTGCCTCAGCAACACCGAGCTCTTCGCCGAGTACCTGGCACTGGGCCAGTACCGGGCGGGGCGGCCGGAGCCCTCGTCTGACCCCGAGCAGCCTGCGGGCCGCGGCGCGCAGGGCCAGGGCGAGGTCACCGAGCAACTGGCGCACCTGGTGCGGGCCCTCTGGACCCTGGAGTACACCCCGCAGCACAGCCGCGACTTCAAGGTGAGCCGGCGCACCGCCGCGCCCCGAGGCGGGGCCTGCACCCCAAGTCCCTGGGGCACCAGCCCGCCCAGGTCTTCCTTCCCTCGGTTTGTCTTGGTTAGGCAGGCTTCTGCATTGGTTGCTCAGAGAGGTCAGAGCAATCTACCAGTGACTATAAGGAGATAGATTCATTCATTCATTCATTCATTCATTCATTCATTCATTCATTCCACATGTATTTATTGAGAGCTTACTACATACGCGGCCGTACCCTGTGATAATAGGCAATGGGAGTGATGTTGCAATGAACAAGACTATCTGCCTTCATGGAACTTGAATTTTTGTGGGGTGGGAGTGTTGATCGTGGGTTCAGATCCTGGTTCTGCCGCTTACTAGCAGTGTGACCTCGGGCAAGTTAAGCTGCCTCTCTGTGGTTACTGTTGCTTCACCTGGGACCTGTTTCATAAGGTGGTTGTGAGCTGCAAACAAGTTGATATATTAGGTCGAATACTGTGGAATTACCCATATTTCACTGTTTTTGATTTACAGATTGGCACTTCTATAGGGTTTAACCTGATAAGCAAATATTCAGTATCATGTGTATTTCCTGTTATGCTGTTATTATTTTTGTTATTAAACACTTCAAGAAGTTAACGAGATGGTATCAGATAGTGGTTTGAAGAAAGAAAAACCTGCTGTTGTGATTGATGTGTGGACAGGCGACTTTTTATTTTTATTTTATTTTTAGAGACAGGATCTTGCTCTGTTGCCGACTCTGGAGTGCAGTGGTGTGATCATAGCTCACTGCAGCCCCAAACTCCTGGGCTCAAGCGTATCTCCCGCCTCAGCCTCCTGAGTATTTAATAGCTGGGACTACAGACACACCACCACACCTGGCTGTTTTTCATTTTTAAAAAACTTTTGTAGAGACGGGGGTTTTGCTGTGTTGCCCAGGCTGGTCTTGAACTCCTGGCCTCGAGCCACCCTCCCCACCTTGGCCTCCCAAAGTGCTGGGATTACAGGGGTGACCCATACTTCCTGGGGGATATGTATGGCCCTTGGCCAAGCCCTCATTTGCTCTCTGCTGGTGGGGCTGCAAGTGTAGTGAGAGGGTGAGATTCGAGATCCGAGTGGTGGGCTGGGGCCGGATGGTATGGGACCATTTAGGATGCACTAAGAAATTGGTCGCTTACTCTAAGCAGAAGGGGAAAATGATGTGAGATAGTGTAAGGGATACTTTTAGGTGGGACATGGATATGGTATTAAACAGCATGAAGTCACACAGGGAGAAAGTTAATTCCTTTTCTTTTTCCTATCCTTATGCCGAGGAGAAAGTCTCAGCTTGATGTTAGCCTGTTTTTAACATCTCTTGTTCACCCTCCACCCCTTTTGTTTTTTAAACAAAGAGAGAACAGGCTTCAAGTCTAGAGGCCTTGGCAGGCACACACAGTAGCTAGAATTGAATAAGATTATGTTTTTATAGGGTTTCCATTTGTCTTCAATTCATGGCAAAGGGTACTGGCTTCCCATTAGTGCTATAAAGCTTCTTTATAACATACATTTATTTAAGTAAAAGGAGATGATTCTGTTAAAATACAAAAAGGTGACCTAGCTGAGGATCTGCACTTAGTTAAGGTCCTGCTTTCTTGCTGACAAACTACATGGCCAGTGTGCATCTCTCCCCATTTAATACTTTTTACTTTATGCTACTCAATGCTGTTTTTCTTGGAAAAAAATTGTTGCTGTTTGATCTTGGCAATTTGAATGGAAATATTTGTCTGAGATAGGGACTGGGAAAAAATGAGATCTAGTTCAGAGATCTCAAAATTATTATTTTTGAGATGGAGTCTCGCTCTGTGGCCCAGGCTGGAGGGCGGTGACCTGATCTCAGCTCACTGCAACCTCCGCTTCCCAGGTTCAAGCTATTCTCCTGTCTCAGCCTTCTGAGTAGGTGGGACTACAGGTGCCCGCCACCACGCCCAGCGAATTTTTGTATTTTAGTAGAGACGGGATTTCACTGTATTGGTCAGGCTGTTCTTGAACTCCTGACTTCAGGTGATCCACCTGTCTCAGCCTCCCAAAGTGCTGGGATTACAGGCAGGAGCCACTGTGCCCAGCTGAAATTACTAAGTAGAGGAGAATGATCAGGAGAACTGGCTAGTGTGGGTCCCCACCCCACCACCACCCTGTCCTGCCCCTCTTTGTAAACTTTGCAAGGTCAGAGCCTAGTATTTAAGTTTGGTTTTCTCCTCTTTTCCAAAATGTGAAAATCAATTTCTAACAGCATCTTTGTATGTGAATATTTCCATTGCTTTTTGAGTTTGTGCTCACTTTTTTATCCATTAAGCTTTGAGCAGAAATGGGTCAATAATTCTAGAAGTACAGAGGCTGATTTATAGGCTTGCTTTGGCAGACATGAACAGATTCTTAGAGGCCTGGCTTTTTAAAAAATGTAATCTCCTGAACCTTTAGTAGGTTTCACTCAGCATTCATTCATTCACTTCCCATTTATTGAAGCCTTACTTAATCAGTTAGGAATGCCTTCAGCCCAAGAAAAAAAATCCTGATAGTGCCTTAAGGAGTAAAAACATTGCAATTGGCAATTCACACACACAGTGATTCTGGAGGTGGGTGGTTCTTTGGTTTGATGGGCCCAACAAAGATACAGATTTCTGTATTTCCATCCCGTTGCTTTTTTGGCTATCATTGGCTTTTTGTTCTTATGTTTTTTGCCTCATTGTTGTCCAGTGATGGCAGCCCCAGCACCCAGCATTCTACCCAGGAAGGCAGGAAGTCATTAGGGAAATAAAAATTCTTCCAGAAGCTCCCTCAGCAAGCTTCTGCTGACATCTCATTGACTATAACCCTGTCAGTTGCCTGTCCTAGAGGCTGGAGGGTGGGTATATGGGTTTTCCTGTCTTCATAGAGGAGATGGGTAAAGAAGGGGTTTACCTCCCAGGCAGCTATGAAGAGAGCTGAGTCTAGTGGGATCTGGGAAGTTCCCTGAGACAGCGCTTCTCACGCTTCAGTGTGCACATGATTCACCTGGGGGTTTTGCTACAAAGCAAATTGAGATTCAGTAGAGCTGGAGTGGTACCCGAGATTCTGCATTTCTAACAAGCTCCCTGGCGATGCCGGTGCTTTTGGCCCAATGACCATCCTGTGAATAGCAGGCACCAAGGAACGAGGAAAGCATCACAGAAAAGGTGGCTCCTGAGCTGTGTTCTGAAAGATGAATAAAAATCTGCGGGGCAAGGAAGAGGTGGAGTGGCATGAAAGGGCGTGTGGTTTGGGGAATAGGCATTTAGTGGCTGGCTGCGCCATAGAGAGCAGTGGGGGTGCAGGAAGCCTGGGAGAAGCGTGTTGGAAATACACTGTGAAGCGTTTTGTGAGCTATGCTTGTTTGGATTCATCCTCTGCAAGTTGAGAATCCAGAGTTGATTTTTCAGCAAGGAAGTGGTATAATTCGATTTTTTCCCTTTTTCTTCTCCCTGTTAGGTAACTGTGGAAGACTGATTACTTTTTAAGAAATGTTTCATTGTAGCCAAATTTGACAGGTATTATTTTGAGTATAAAGAAAGTTGAACACCAAGGCAGGACACAGTGGCTCATGCCTGTAATCCCAGCACTTTGGGAGGCCAAGGTGGGTGGATCACTTGAGGCCAAGAATTTGAGACCAGCCTGGACAACATGGTGAAACCCCCTCTCTACTAAAAAAATTTAAAAATTAGCTGAGTGTGGTGGCACACACCTGTAATCCCAGCTACTCCAGAGGCTGAGGCACGAGAATCGCCTGAACCCAGGAAGGTGAAGGTTGCAGTGAGTCAGGATCACGCCACTTCATTCCATCCTGGGCAACAGAACAAGACTCTGCCAAAAAAAAAAGAAAGAAAGAAAGAAAGAAAAAAATTAAAAGAAAGAAAGTTAAACACCAGAAGTTGGATGTGAGGCATACCTCACTGCTCACTGTTTTTCGCTTGCTTGGAGCAGACATTGTTATTTCGCTCGGATATTCATCACTTTCAGATCGCTCACATCCAGCCTTAGAATCCAGCTCAGTTCTGGGCTCCAGGCAGCCACCACCAGTTGGTTGAAGTTGGCAGAGGAGTTGAGATGGTTTGTCTTGAGGTTAGAAAAGCACTAGGTCTTTGAATGTGCTTTTGTTATCTTAAAACGTTAAGTTACTAACGATTTTCTTTGTAAGTTTTTCAATTAGAATTCTTTCTTCCTTTCTAACCACATTGGTTTGAGTTTTAGGAGCTTGCCAATAGACAGTTTTTGGTTTTGGACGGGCTAGATGGTTGTTAAAGTTGGGTTTTCATTTCCCAGGATGAAATGAGTTGACTAGCTCAACCTTGATATGCTTTAAAAAACGTCTCTAGCCACTACCTTTGTCCTTTCTCTTTCTACACAGATTTTTTTTTTTCCTACTCTTAGAGCACTGGTTTTTAGCACAGGCACTTTTGCCTGTCCTCACCCCACCCTGCTCTCACCCCCCAGGACATTTGTCAATGCCTGGAGCCATACTTGGTTGTCACAACTGGGATCAGGGTGCTACTGGCATGTGGTGGGTAGATTCCAGGGATGCCGCTAAATGTCACAGAGTGTGCAGGACAGCCCTCCTTAATAAAGGATTTTTCAGCCCAAAGTGTCAATAGTGCTGAGGCTGCGAAACTATTGGAGGAATGTTTGGAGACTCAGCACAAGTTTCCTTTGCTTCTCCAGCCTTTAAAATGGTTACCTTGCTTACCCCCGCCTTTGTCTTCCACTGTCTATGAGTGTGTGTGTGTGTATGTGTTTGCAGCAGTGTTAGGGTAGAGCTTAGACTTCGTTGGCAGGACCCTTGTATCACTTTCTTGGTAAAATAGTGGGAATAAATAAATCACTTTGAATATATGATATGTTGTTTTAAAGGGAAATCAGCGTATTGCTTTCATAGGAGCATGGGTGCCCCAGATTCTTAGAAATACTTTCTGAGTTTTAGTACTCAGAGCCCTTTTGCAATAAGTAAAAAGATGAAT